ATAGATTATTAAGTTTTAAATGAATTGAAATTCCTAGATTGTTTTGAGATTCATTGAACTTTTCAATGGCATGTTTAAATCTCGATTGTGCCCTTCAAGTTTGCGACTGGAACACCGAGGATCACAAACAAGGTGTGAATAACCATGCAAATGTGTTTGGTACACTTAATGTTACAAATCACCTAATCAATGTGCCGGTTAACCACACACGCTCCATTGATCCATGATTAACATCAAGCTACCCTTTGCAACACATTGTTAGTCCCAAATTTGTGTGCCGGTTAACCACACACGCTCTACTAACGACTTAACAAGGTGCAAAGCGCAATTTCATGGAATAACACTTTTTTCACATTTTTCCTAAAGTAACTAAGATTGAGAATTTATTATAGTTTAGTTACTTTAATAATTATCATTATACTTATTAATGAGAATTAATGTCGTATCCTACCCATTCGGCTAACGACCCTCCACCAGTCAAGGAAGCGGTGGGTGAGAGTGGACACCCATTAATCCACCATTTTATAGGCAGTAACCTTATACCCCCTTATAGACCGACTTCGTGAATGAGGCCTACTAACGGTAAGACTGACTTGTCTTATACATATATATATATATATATATATATATAAGTATTAAACTTTAATATTATAATAGTATAAGGGTTGAATTTTAAACTTTTAACATTCTAGGGTTTGGAATTAAAGTTTCATAAATGAGACTCTACAAGTTCCAAAACTTGAGGGCAAGTTTTGTAACTTGTCAAGACTTTTGATTTCCATAACTTATGGATTTTAAAGTTCCATGAATGAGACCTTTCAAATTCCAAACTTGAGGACAAGTTATGAAACCTTTCAAGATCTCTTGAATTCTATAACTTACAATAGTCAATGGTTTCATAAATAAAGGCTTTTCATATTCCATAACTTGAGGACAAGTTATGGAACTTTTCAAGAAACACATAGATCAAATTAAACTGATCCAATTATCATATAATTCATCATTTTACCAATTTGACCTAGTTCATATTCAAGATAGTTTCAAATTTTACCAATAATTAGTTTTTCATAAAATCAAGTAATTATCTTACTAATTTTACCATATTAGTAAAATCAAATTTTATCAACCAAAATAGTTTGTGGTAATGATCCTAATCTAAAACAAGCCAAAAACTCAAAAAAATCTGCCACCAGATGAGCCAAGTCGTCGAGCCAGGCTTTGGACTCGTCGAGTTAATGGCAAAACTCATCCAACTCGTCGAATCCATATATGGACTCGTCGAGTTCATCAGACAGTGGCCAGAAAAGTCATTTTTCCAACTTTGAAAACCACACATTTGCATCAATATAATAGAAAACACTCTAGGCTCTGATACCACTGTTGGATTTTATGTACTCTAACATTCTTATGGTGTACATAAAACCCTAATGCTTTGGATCTAAGTTTTCTCTAATTATACATGCAATATTGATATCCAAAGCATGAAGCCTAAACTAGCATACAAAACTTAACATATGAATCATAAAATTAGTTAGAAGGTTACCTCTTGATGTAGCTAGTAAGACTTTGGCCTTGTGAGAACTTAGCACCCTAAGTGTTGTGCCTCAAACAAGTCACAAACACCAATAAACAACAAAATGGATATGAGAGAGGCTAAGGAGACTCAAAAATTGGATTCTCTTCTTGGAATACAAGTAGTGGCCGATTTTAGGGCTTAAGATAACATATTTACATGTGTAGAAATCCAAGAGTCATGTGTAACCCTAATCCACACATATAGGCTTATGATCCATGCATTTGATTTGGACTAACACTTCATGGACTATCCATAAGCTTAACCCATCACAAATCAATTATGGATCATCAGCCCAATCCATATGTATCAATTTAATTAGTCTCTTTCGATCACTAAATTAATTCTAAATTAATTCTTGATCAATACTAATTAAATAATATGATTTCTCAATTAATATATTATACTTATAATATATTAATAAATCACAAATAACCTCTTACTCAAATACTCATCTATCAAATTGTTCTGGTGAAGGCAACCCAAAATGGACCATGCTACTATCGGGTCACGTACATACCAATTATAGTTATGGGCTTAGGCACCTACTCCAACAAACTACTGTCTATGTGACCTATAATGAATCTTGTGTAAGTGGGAGATTGTTGGATCTATACGCCCAAGAATCATTATGGAGTGATATTGCTAATAATATATGATCCTATAGGGTCACACATTTATCAAGTTGGCACATTTTATATATTTATTATTAATATGATTATTAATAAATAATATCGATTCTTGTATTTTAATTAGAGAATAATTATTGTTTTATGAAAATAATAATTATAAGAGAGTACAACTAGTCATTATATCATACGGTATGATTTAATAAGTCATGTACAAACTTTTGGACACTTTGGTTAACCATGATTAAGTTAAGGACTTACTTTACCATGGTTAATAAAGTTGGAGACAATTTTTGTCTCTTTCGTAGCCATATGGCCGAAAGTTTATGACAAGTATGGAAGGTTGCTTTTCAACTTTCCTCCCATGCTCCCCATGTTCCTAAAAGCTAGTGAATACTTTATATTATTATATGGTGTTACTTTTGCTTTTTCATGGATATTTAAAGAGGTGTCTTGCATGAGTTTGAAGTAAGTTTTTTGGTGATTCTCTCCATCTCTTCTCATGGCCGAAATCACCTCTCACTCCCCCTCTTCTTGTTGTCTTTTGAAGATTGTCGAAAGATTAGAAGCCCTCTTGAGTTGTACCCTTTAGTGCTTAATTGTGTTAAGCACCTAAAGGCTTTAGACACTCAAAGAATACAAGAAGGAACTAGCATTCCAAATGCCTTACTCTTGATGGTGGATACTTGTAAAGAAGATCATACACTTTGATCTTTTGTTATCTTCATCAACACCCCAAAACCAAATGGGTTCAAAGGCTTCAAAGGTTATCTCTAAAACATCATATTGTTGTTTTCATTTCATTCTAACCTCTATAAAGGGATTCATGATGTTGTGGTTTTGTTATGAACTAAAAATAAAGTAGTTATTTTTAAAGTCTTCCGTTGCCGATTTTTATCAAAAACAAACTTTTATTTCGTACCAAAACCCAACAGTTTCATAGTCAGGATTTGGAGAAGAAGTATCTGCAACGACTTTTGTCTTGGGTGGAGGAAGAATCGTGCCATCTGTGTGGCCGGACAGCTTCGGATATGCAAGAAGGGGAAGCATTTGATTGCTCTAGAGTTAGTAGTTTGTAGGAGAAAGTTTGACAGTAATCATATGAAGAATGGTGTTGAGAGGGAGAGAAGATGGCGATGAGGAAGAGGAGTCGTCGTTCGTCATTACAAAGAGGAAAAGTCTTGACCTAATCTAATAGCATATAAGACTTTATTAAATTAACCTCAAAGGGTATAAACGAGTTTACAAGTATATATAATACAAGATAACAAACAAAGGCTAATTTTTAGTAATACAACTTGAATACAGCTAAATAACCATATTATCTAGACTTATCTTATTTGTCACTAATAAAAATACACTTTCATTCAGTTAGAATATACTCTCATTCTTCTAGAATAAACTTTAATTCTACTAGAATACATTATCATTCTCCATGTTCTAAGCAACCTTTTTGTATTTTGAGTGAGTGGGTCATGAAACAAAATACAAACTCATTCTAGAAAAACTAAATGCGAATTCATTCTGAAATAATATCATTGCTGATATTAATGACGAATTTATTATTTTCTATAAAAAATAATTATAATTATGTATATCATTTAATATACATATAATTATGGAAATCATTTAATACATATATTTATTTGATTAAATAATAATTTAATTTTTACTAAATTCTTATTGGTGTATTCTAGCACACAATAGATGTGAGAAACATTTGAACCCAGCTCCTCTCTCTCTCTCTCTCTCTCTCTATATATATATATATATATATATATATATATATATATATTTCTTTTAAATGTATTCATAAGTTGGATATTGATATTTATTTATTAAACGTTAAAAGTAAAACTGATTATTTATTTTACAGGATCACATACATTATCACTCTAATATAGTATAATCAGATTATATTATTATCTAATAAATAAAAATAATTTCGAATAAATCAGTAAAACACTAAACTAAAAAGAAATGACAACGATGGTTTATATACTTTTTATAAAATTTTATTGTAATACAATAAAAAAGAGACAATGAATATTATAGAATTAAATTAATCAAAATTGTAGATCTAAAAAATTTAATGTTGCGACAACGATTGAACGTTACAGAAATGATTTGATGACAATAATTAAAGCTAGACTACCCCGTCTGAATACCCAAATCTGAACTATCAAACCATTATATATCTACCAATTTTTACGCGTATTAAAAAAAATTGAATTTCTTTAAATTTATATATATATAAAAGCTTAAAAAGTTGGAGAGCAGTGTACTTTTTTCTCTTTCCTGTTTTGCCACCGAAGTTTTTATTCTCATTCTAAAGACACAATAACAATTCCGTCTTCCCATTCTTCTCTTCTCTTCTTATCCTCAACCTTGCCGCCCTCCTCCTCCAATAGTCTTTCTTTTCGTTTTCCTTACTTCCTCTTTCTTGCTTCTTTACTCTTCCTCAGATGCAAGAAACCCCTTCTCCGCTTCTTCTATGCCGATCCTCTTCCTTCACATGTTGTTCTCTTCATAAACCTGAAACTCTCTTTTGACATCGATTGCATCTCCCTTCCAATTTTGCGCTTCTCTCTCTACACCCAAAAAAAATTCATGTCGTCGCTCATACAGGCTACTGCCCACCGCCGCCACCCCCACCATTTTCTCAACTTCCGACACCGAGAGCAAACCACCAGCCACCACCAACTGCTGCTTCATCTTTTTGGATATACCACAAACTGGTCATAGTTTGGATCAGGTCGTCGACGACGGCAACGCATGAGTAGAAGGAAATAGAGGTTATGGCTGACAGCAGAGCATACAACAGTATCCGATTGAGCGCCACCGTAACTGTTCACCTCTGTTTTTTCTGATTTCCTTTGTGAATGTTCCTTCTTGGTGGCTGATTCAGAACGAGTTGAAGGTAATGTTTTCTTCTACCTCCAGGGTATCGACTATGGTGGTGGGGTTTCTTGGTCTTTCTTTCAGGAGGGCCGAGGGTATCACTTCCCCTTTATGAGCTTTGTCTCTGGTTCGATTTTCTGATTTAATCCTTTAGTTTTTATTTCATTTGGTTGATTCTTAAGTTTTTATGGCCTTTGTTTGATTAATTGTCAAGTTTTTCTTTTGTTTAGTCAATTTTTAGGTTTTTATGACCTTTCCTTGATCGATTGTTACATCTTTTTATGCTTTACTTCTTCCAGGAAGGTATATATTCTACATGTCGGTTGAAAAAAATTGTTGTATAGAGGCTGTTAATATGCTAAAGGGAAGTGCACATGCAGTGTTTGTGGAAATGCCTAAGAGAAGGTAATATGTTTCTATTATCTGTTATAGATCATATATGCTGCAGGTTTGTACATGTTTCTATTATCTGTCATCAATCATCAGTCATGTTATTTTTTCCATATGAACAGGTTTCTAAATCTTCTTCAGAGCTGGAATTGGGTAGATTAAATGATCATTATAACAACTATATCAGATTCCCATGTCATCAATATACGTGTCATCAACAATTCAAGATACATCAAATCGCCTTTCCCTTTGTCGTGTATGTCTACTGTGTTTAAGTAATTACATTTTTTTATGTTTCACATGCCTTCAAACATTCTTTTAATTTTAATTTTATGCAATTTGTTGGTTGTGAAAGCTATTGATCTCCCTCATAGTGTTTCTCAGGCAATGGTTTCTTCACGCCTCAATATTGGAAAAAATGTTTCCTGTTTTACCCCCCCCCCCCCCCCCCCCCCCCCCCCCAATTTATGAACCGAGCAAAACAGATTCATCCAATGCCTTTTTTCTGATACTGCTTCATCTATCTCTTGTAAGTTTATAGTTCTTGATTAGAATTTTAAATCTATATGGTGAAAGATTATTGGATTAATGTTGATTGTGGTTGTTGTTGGTGGTGCAGTGACGCCTACGTCAATGGAAACTTCAAATGGTCAAACACCAAGGAGATGGTGATGATGTTGATGAATTTGATTTGCCAAAGTAAGTGTTTTTTCACATCTTTTCTACATATTAAACAAAAGGTATTTTTCTTTATTGGCAAACTAATAATCTTAATGTTGATTTTCTCCTGTTTTTTTAAATGTTTTATGTAGAATGGATTTCAAGAAAATTACAAATTCCTTCAGGCAAGATAAATCCATATTCAATGGTGATATTAGTGCCACATGGTTGCATTCCACTTATGATGTTTTATGTTGTGCATTGAGAAGTAAGGTTTTGTTGGGTGTTAGTCTTTTTTTTTTGGTTTCTAGATGTAACAAAATTACAAATAGTTATCAATTGCCAAATTTGTTAATGTTTATAATATATACAAAAAGAATTTTATAGTGTTTCGTTTTACTTGCTTTTTTATCCATATAGTTAGAATGCTTATTAGAGGTTTGATCACAAGTGCATGTCCAGAAGGGATGCTATAGGGACAATGGACAACTTTGCCCATGAAGTTACATTCTCATCTATTTTATTTATAAAATTTGAAAATTTCAATATGTTAATTGTTGTGTGAAAGAGTCTGATTTATTTCCATGTTGCAGGAAGCGACATACTATTGCTGAGCTGTTAAACAAGAACTCAAATTTGCTCAAACTTGAACTCAACAACAATTTTATTGATTATTGTGTAAGTTTTTTTTTTCTTTTATCATCTGCTTTTTTTAAACAGAGACTTACAATTGACCATTATCGTTATATTTTATAACATTAACTTTAGCATTACGTGAAGGCTGATATCATTTTTTTAAAATTTACTCCCTCCCTCCCCTTTACCATTATCGTTATATTTTATCATCTACCCCTTTCTTACAGTTCTGTGTCTCAAGTAAATTTACTTTTCCGCCCCTTTCTTGCAGGACTGTTGAATGTACTCGCGTCGTTATCCAATATAGCATCTTACTTTCATTTGCTTATTCTAATTTTTTAAAATTTTGTAATATTTTTCCTTTTTATACCATCATACTTACAAACTACGATGTTATTGTAGATAAAACTTGATTACGAATGAACTTTTTCTATATCCCATTTTATATTCAACTTTTTTTGTCTAATATTTCAGTTTGAACATCAAGCTTGGGGCAGGTGACATTAGTTTTTAATAATGATTTATTCTATGTCGCATGAACCTATAGTAAGGTACCACAATTTGATGTTCATAACAATAGGGAGATATAGTTGCTTTCAATCTTTTTTAGCTATAAGGAATGTGTAGCAAATGGGCTTCTTTTGATTTCCTTGTAACAAAGCTTTTTTCTTTCTTTCATTTTCATCATAAACCATCGCTTACAAACCTTTACAACCTTTTGCATTAATTCATTGCAAGATCAGCCAACTATATTTAATTTGGTATTTAAAAAAAATACCCTTAGCGTCAACGGGGCAGCTAATTCCTACTAGTTGTCAATAAACGGTTAAAAAAATCAATGTTATATTCAAGATTGCAATGTTATATTAGATTTTGCATGTTATATTTTAGTTTTATATTTTGACCAAAATTTATAAATTTTATTAGATATTTTGCTTGTATTTTTAATTATATTCTGAAAATGCTCCAAACATATATATATATATATATATATATATATATATATATATATATATATATATATATTTTCTAAATTCGCTTCGTAATTAGTTTTTTCATAAAAAATTTAACAACTTTTTAAAGAATTGTTCTAAAATTTTATATAAAAATTTCATAACTTTTTTGTAATATTAAAAAAAAAATTCATAGCTTTCTTTACTTTTTGTACATCTTTTTATAATCATTAGTATACTTATAATTTTTTATAATATTTTTAAACGTTTCTTTCTTTTTTTCTTTTGTACAATATTTTGGAACTATTTTACTTCTCTTTTTGCACACTTTTTTTTTGAACGAAAGTTTAAAAAAATTATAAAAATATGTTGTATTAACAAAGTTAATTTATTTAAAATGACTGTATATAATTTGGTTTAAAAATAGTTTTAAAAAATTGTAGAAAATATAAAAAAAAATGTAATTTTTGTAAGAAATTATAAAACTGTATAAAAATGTACAAAAAAATTATTAAAAGTAGATTTTTAGATAAAATTAAATTTGTTGAAAAAATTAATTTTATGACGAACTGATGAAAAAAAAGGACAATATTTATATAAAAGTTCAAACTGTAGAGTAAATTTGTAATAAAATTTGAAGTTTTTTGTTAGATTAAAAATTATAATATTATATATGATATAAATTGTTTTAATTGGAGAAATAAAAGTTTCTTATCTTTTTATAAAACAATTGGGTTTGTTGGGAGTTTAAGATATTCGAAATAGGTTTTTTCTAAAAAAAATAATATTAACGCGTTTTCAAAAGCCATCAGGAAGCCCAAAGATGTCATGAATTTAGAGCATCCGGTATGGGTACACAAGACGTCGTTATTGCCTATGTGGCACCTCATAACATGGTCATAACATCATGAACATCATTTCCCCTTTGGTGTTATGACATATCTTGTTGGCGTTATGACATACTGAAACGAGAATATTGATTGACTGCATATTTCTCCTCTTTCTATTTTTCTCCTCTTAACCTCCTCATAACATGGTCATAACACCATGAACAACATTTCCCCCTTGGTGTTATAAATTGTTATAACATCACCTCAACGGATCCATACCTAATGCTCTTAGGAATTCGGTTGAAGAGTACGGATGATTAAATAAGTTACTGATTTAGCCCATATGGGTTGATGTATCTTTTTTTTTAGAGAAATTTCATCAAATAACAAAAAAAAAGGGATCTTTGAACATTTTGACCATGAAAATTTGAGTTTAGTAGAATGACCAAGGGATCCTTAAAGGGGGTTCTACGAAAGTCTTTACCTTCTGAGGAATGTGAATGGTAACGAGGAATTGAGGTGGCAGGGGAAAAAACAAAAAATAAAATAAAACGGTTTGTTGCATAGTTCCTCAGAAGGGGCTCTGAGGAAAAGTTGTTGAGGCTCTGCGGATCTGTTCTTCATCAGCACACCTTTGAGGAGCTGTTCTTCGGCTAACCATGACAAAAATCGGGATTTCATTAGTCGAAGAACAGTTCCTTAGAGGTGTGCTGATGAAGACCAGATTCGTAGAGCGTTAGCAACCTTTCCTCAGAGTCCCTTCTGAGGAACTATGCAACAAACCCTTTTTTTTGACTTTTTCTCGTGCCACCTCTATTCCTCGTTACTATTCATTTTCCTCAATAGGTAAAAGCCCCTCTATTCCTCGTTACTATTCATTTTCCTCAAAAGGTAAAGTCTTTCGCAGAGCCCCTCTGAAGATCCCTGGTCATTTTACAAAACTCAAATTTTCATGGTCAAAATGTTCAAACACCCCCTCCCTTTTGGTCATTTGATAGAAATTTCTCTTTTTTTTATCTAATTTTTTCTTTTTTAATCTTGAAATTCCTGTGGCAGGTAATGTATATAAAGCTTCGTTAAGTGCCAGATAAATGAAGAAATTGCATTTTTATTTGTATTTTTTTTCTTATTTTCATATTTTTTTTAGTTTAATTAAATGACAAATCACCACCACCACCGATATCAACACCATTAAATTACCCACCACTATCACTACTACTAGCCACATGCAACCGAAAAACCAACCATAACACCACCGACCACCAATCTCTATTGTCACCATCACAACCATCACCAATCACCACCAACCCCACCACCACAACTATAGTTTATTCCATTCACATATGTTCCTTCTTTGGACAACCACCCTACTCCCTCCTTGCCTTTGTCGGCGTCCAATATCCTCATCCTCCTTTCCTTCTTCTTACAACCACCCTAACCCCACCCCTTTACCGTTTAAAATGCGAAAACATAAACCTGGACATAACACAAAGAATGGAAACTAGACCAAAAACAAAATGAAAACTAAACATAAAACTAAAGACAAGCAATGCAAGAAAACTTAATAAAATTTTTGTTCGTAAACTTTAGAACTCTCGATCGTATAACAAAGATGATATTGTCCAGGTTCGTTACAATACAAAATTCACTCACCGGATTCTTTGAACCCTATTTCGATGTTGGATACTTCAACTCTATCGCCTTATACAAATGACATGCTTCGATTTTGATTCCAATCCACAGAGTTGGGTTTGAATGGACGAACTTCAATTTTCATTCTAACAGAGACGTTGGAGATGAGCGATTTTAACGACGTCGTTTTGATTTCTACAAAAGATAAGAGGGGGCGAAAAGATGTTTAGGAAGAGTGGGTCGAATGATAGGGGCTGAGGAGGGACCTGTCCGTGAGAACTGAAAGATTATTAGACTGGTAGGTGTGGGCAACGCCCACACCGGCGTTATTAGGAAAAGACAAAAAAAAAAAGGCGTTATAACGTGTTATGGTGGTAACGGGAAGTAACGTGCAGGCTAATAACGCCTGGTAACGGGTAAGGGGGGGCGGTGTTCACATGTTATAACACCCAATAACGCCTCTTGAGGCGTTGCCCATACCCACCTCTCTTATGGGATATGTCTGGTAGATTAGGGTTTTAGCCGAGATTTCAAACAATTTTAAAAAATGGTCCCTAAAGTTTACATGTTTTATGAGTTTGGTCCGAGGGTAAAAACAACTTCTTAAATTGTGGTTAACAGAAACTTAGACAGTAATTGACTTAGGGACCACCGATTTAATATTTTGAAACCATAAGAATAAGTCATGTAAAAAAATCAATAGACTAAAAGTACAAACGAGGACAAACCACAAGGACCCAAATTGTAATTTACTCTTGAAACTTTTCATTGAATGTCGCTTTAAAGAAGAAATGACAAGACGGAAGGAAAACATAAATGATGATAGAAGAATACTATTTTGTTTTTTTTTTTACTTTTGTTTTTCCTCTTTTAGAAATGTCACGAAATATTGTTTATGTTATTTATCGTTTCCGTGTTGTTTAATGGGAAATCACTTATCAAGATAATTAATTTTTCGGTATTTTAACATCTGGATAACTATCTTTTTTTGTACACATCTAGATAACAAACTTGTTGGAAGTGTTCACATATGACCATTATGACCTGCTGTAGCAGGTTACATCTTATATGTAAACACTTTCAACAAATTTGTTACATAGATGTGTACAAAAAAGTTACCTAAATATGAACAAAACGAAAAGTAAGAGTAAATTACACGAATGGTCCCTATGGTTTGGGGGAATTTGTGTTTTTGGTCCCTAACTTGTTTTTTTAACTTGGATGGTCCCTACTGTTTATTTTTGTTACACGTTTGGTCACTGTCTTACCAAAAAAGACTATTGTGCCCTTATTAATTTATTTTTTAATTAATTTTCTTATTTATGTATTTATTTTATATATATTTAAAAAAATTAATAGACCCCACATATCTGTATCTCCTCACCGTAAACCTGAAACCACATTTGAGAAATTTATTTTGGGTCTCACCGGGTTGTGGTGTTAATTCGACGGAGTGGAAGGACCGAAAAAAGAAGGTATGGTGAAGACGTCGATATCACTAAAGATGAAAAATAAATAGAAGTTGATGATTATGAGAGATGTGATGGTGAGGAGATACAAATATGTAGGGTCTATTAATTTTTTTAAATATATAAAGAATAAATACATAAATAAGAAAATTAATTAAAAAATTAATTAAATAAGGGCACAATAGTCTTATTAGGTAAGATAGAGACCAAACGCATAACAAAAATAAACAGTAGGGATCATCCGAGTTAAAAAAAATAAATTAATTAAAAAATAAACAGTAGGGATCATCCGAGGAAATACAAATATGTGGGGTCTATTAATTTGTTTAAATATATAAAAAATAAATACATAAATAAGAAAATTAATTAAAAAATAAATTAATAAGGGCACAATAGTCTTTTTAGGTAAGACAGTGACCAAACGCGCAACAAAAATAAATAGTAGGGACCATCCGAGTTAAAAAAATAAGTTAGAGACCAAAAACACAAATTCCTCCAAACCACAGGGACCATTCGTGTAATTTACTCTTACTTTTCGTTTTGTTCATATTTGCGTAACTATTT